TTTCTCAAAAAATGATTCGCTCGAAAAAATGTGATAACCATTGGCCATAGCAAAACGAAGAAATAAAGAAGGAATGACACAACGAGTCGTCGACAAAGACATGTAATTTTGAGAACATCAGTTGACAACGAATACAAAAACAGATAGTTTCCATTCGAGCTGATAAATCACTTAACTAACTTCTGATGGAATTTTCTGTTTACAGTGTAAAAATTACAATAGAAATCGATGAAACGGAACGGTATTATACACAAAATGAGAAGCAATTTCTTCATATGCAGAATGTGCGAAAAACATGAAACATACAAATAGAAATGCGACGAGAATTCAAAACTATTCATTCGCGAAAACGATTACTGAAACCCGTTTTACATTACATCATATGTGAATACGGGTAAAAATCCATTGGATGCACCTCATTTCTGAACATAATTGGAAATGAAACTTCATTGCCAATTCTTGCACAAAATAGGTCTCTATAAGATCTATCATTGAGTTGTTACTTTCAAAAGTGAAACCGAAAAAGAAACTTCTTTTATTACCAGCGAGTCGTCAAATCTACAGAGAACTTCCACAATTCATCCCAACTAATCTAACATTTCATAAACTGGAGAATGGGATTAAACAAATACAAATCTCAAAAACACATCAGGATGCTATGGTTTTGTATTCTATGGACTTTGCTGAGCTATTTCTCCATACTTGCGAATTACGTCTACGTAATGAGTAGGATCAGCGTGAGAACACAAATAGCACAGACTTGAGAATATTTGTACGACCCTATTATTCAACGTCCAAAACAGAACAGACACCGTATGAAATTGACGACAAAACTGATCGCGATCAACACTCCCATTACCACCAATAGGACCACAACCCATTCCTGAAATTATTACGGCTATACCATCCGCGTAACTGACATGCGTTAGAGTAACGTGTCGGTGAGCTCATTTAGAAACTTGCCCAACAATTCATTTATCGATATTTGGCTCATACACGTAATGATTCGCTATGTTTTTCCAGGAACAACTGTTCAATAACATTCTCAGCATACCCTTTACCAGTCAATCACCTCTTATATTCTATGAATTCAATTTTGTTTGGAACAACTGAGTGAACAAGCGAAACGTCATGAGAAGGTTATT